GTGCGAGCCTCTGCGAAGCAGAGGTGACGCACTGGTGTACGAATAAAAAGCTCAACGCTAGTTCTTTCTCATCCTTCTCCTTAATTTCCCTTGTTTACTTTTAGTTTTCTTCGACTGCCTCATTTATTATCGTAGCAGTGGTTAGAACGTTTTGAAGAGAGACTGAACTTTGAAATATTCTGAAATAAGAAAAACTGAAAAATGGAAGTAGGCTGTACAATAGCGCTCGCGGTTTGGTAAAGAATCCTCTATATGAGTGATAAATCTCTTGAGAATTTTTATTCTGCCAGTTTTTTTTTTGTTTTGAGTTGACTGGAACCATTTTGATCATATATTACTTTTTAGAAAATGTGAATACAATTCCTATTTTTTGCAACGTCCTAGTGCTCATCAACAGTTAAGTTCATTAGAAGCTCATTGTGCAAGCTTAATCACAGTTTCAGCAATCCGTTCATACTCTTGTTCGCCATCATCTCCGGCTCGCAGGCCATTTCGAAGCATTACGATGATAATCTGAAATTGGAGTTTCGATCTCGAAGAAAGTGGGAGAATTAGGTTAGCCTTTTTAAGGGAGATTTGGTTACTAAAAAGATCTTGGAAATGAGTGGTAATGGCACAAAGTTACAACTTTTGCGTTCGTAAAAAATCGGAACTTTTTAAACTACACGATAACGTTTAACAAACCTCATCTCTTCTATCCACCTCCACTACTTGTAGCCCATTCCCGATAAATCGTATCGTCCACTCCTAGAACAAAATCGAGCTTCAAAAAACCACGATAGGGGGATCTGGTAAGCGGATCGTCACGCAAAAAAGGTGTCCCATTATTCCTTTTCCACCAGGAAAAGGTCAGAAACGGCCTTTTCGCACCCCTCATGCTATGATAGTCCCATGAGCGAGCAAAGAGATTGCGTCTAATAATTTGGCTACAGCATGTAACTTCGGTTTTTGGAAGCTAGTAAGGCTCTACACTTTGATTCAACTAGATAGGCGGCTAGAGGGCGGGGCTTCGTGACCTAATTAAGGTTAGAGAATGAGCAGAGAGCACTCAATTTTTCATCTAACTATACATTTTCTCAACTAGAGTTACGGTGTGGACAATCTAACCAGGACTCGGT